GAAACTGTGAGCCTAAACAAACCTTGCCTCCTTCAAATTGTGTGTGTTAGGAATTTTTTATAGCAACAGGAAAACTGACCAACACAAATATACACATCAAAAAAATGAGTAGCTCTTGATTTAAATGCTCACTGTCTACACTGACTATTTTTGTGCATGTGTTTATATTCCCCAAACCTAACTCATTACCTGGTATAGAATTAGACCTTAGGAAAAGTTGAAAAAATGGGTATAGTACATTAATAATATCCTTTTATTAAAAGTAAGACTTGCAGGGGCTGGGGATTTAGCTCAGTGGCATAAGTGCCTGCCTTGTAATCAGGCAGTCGTGAGTTCGATCCCTGGTACTGATAAAAATGAAAAAGACAAAAAAAAAAAAAAAAAAAAAAAAAAGTAAGACTTACCAAAAACACTTTGACAAAAGTGCAATTCAGCAAAGGAGCATTCAGAAAACACTACTTAGAACACATCTAGTCTTAGGAGCCATGCAGAATTGAGTTTGAAATTAATGTTCACTCTGCAATTTGAGACACTGGACCTTGTTTTTGTTTTTATCCATGCCATGGAATTCTATACTTCAGAGGACACTTTTTCTGGTACCAGGACAAACTCAGGACCTCACTCTTGCCAGGCAGGTGCTGTACCACTGAGCTAAATCTCTGTCTCAAGAGGACATTTTCTGTTTACCCAAAAGCTTTTAAACATGTTACCTATGCTTGGACATAATACCTTACTTTTACAAGACACAAGAGTCCCTTTCCCCATATTCCTTGCATGTAGAATTCAGGTATGTTATCTGGGTTCTGTCACTTAGATGCACCTATCTAAAACTTTGGTTTTCAGGAGAATGACTTCAGGAAAAATTCTTCCCATGGAATTCTCCTGGATAAGGGAGTCAGGAAGGGTTTAGTTTCCAAGAACAGAATTGGCCACCTTTCAGAATTGCAAATTGGGAGAGTGAATCACATTTTTAACTTGCAGGCCTCTGTATTATGATTTAACTTGGTCACAATTTGAATCTGGCCATCCTAACAATTCTGTAATATACTTGATAAGATTTAATGAATCTTTCCACATGAATTAGCAAGAATGGATTATCATGCTAATAGTGAAAACAGATTCTCTTACTTTACAGCTACAGAATTTCTGTTACATAGTATAGGGTTAAAATATTATAATGCATTTTGTTATTTATGCTTTCTTCTATTGAAAGCATCCTCAAAATACTTATTCAAATTTTTTGCAAACTTCTGTAGGTTACAGGTAAAAATTAGCAGTGTCAATATAATGAGATGCTATTATTGTCCTAACTGTGCACAAAATGTACAAAAACATTCTTTGTAAATTTGGACCTACAATTAAAATATTTAGGAATTATTAAAATTTTCAGAAATCTGGCAGTTTGCATATCTAGTCATATTTATTCTTCTCAAGGAGTATATTTTAAAACTTGAATAAGAAAAGCTGGAACTCTACTATATGCACAAGATCAACATAACAAGTCACAAAGAGCTCTGTATTCAGTTCTAAACAACTGTTTCAGCCACACAAGTTTTATGTTATGCCTTCACACAGGAGTAAAAATAAAATTAATAAAACTTCTTAGTGATGTAAAACAATACAAAATGTTTTCAAACTTAAATCTTGCAATTTTTTCAGCTATAAAGAGGAAAAGACTGCATGAAGAATACAGTGTTATTTTAAACCATAAATTGAGGAAGGTTAAATCAACAGAAGAAAATTATAAAATATACACGGATAAAGAGAAAGATAAAAGAAAGCTCCACTGGCCTTTTCCCACAGCCTTATTTCGGCTTTGACAAGGAAATGCCATGATCATGAGCCCTTTGTTCATCTTCTCCTTGTTTCTTGGTGATAGAGGGACTTGAGCCCAGGGCCTTCTGGCTGTGCTACATGCCCAGTCCCCTTTCCCTTTTTTAAATTATAAGAAAAGATCTCGCTAAGTCACTGAATTCCCCAGGCTGGGTTCAAAATTGCAAACTGCCTGTCTCAGCCTCCTAGAATGCTGAGATTACAGACCCGCACCCTCCACACCCAGGGTAAATCAGTCTTTTATTAAAGAATTAATCCTTGTCTCTTCTCATGTGCCAACATTTGTTTAGGCATCAGGTGCAGCAGTGGACAAAGAACATCAACAACAACAACAATAGCAACAAAATACTTGTCATGTGGCACTTAGGGAAACAGTGTGCTGGTCTGAATGTCTTCAGGAAACTTGCACTTACTCAGATAGAGAGAAATAAAACAAAATAGGGAAGTGAGGGGGAAAAGACTGCTTTGGCTTTGATGTTGATCGTTCTGTTTATTTTTATTTTCTCACTACCACAAATACTGTCCCTGATCTGACCATCCTTGGAAAGAAAGGCTGCAAATCAAATAGACAACTACTCCACTGGTCTTATTGTACCTAAATAAAATTATATTCTCATCATGTTTTATACTAACCAAGTATCCTACAGGCCTACTCTAAAGTATGAGAAGTAGAAAAAAGGAGTGCTTACTTTCCATAAAATTAAATGTTCCCTTCAAACTGAATGTTACAATTTTGCACCTTTCAAAGTACAAATGCCATTTGAAAGGGACAAACATAGGAGGACAGAAAAGGTTGCACATTCCTCCCAATGTATTCTGGAAAAGTTCACAGTATCTTGGTCCTTCTGTGCCTCAGAACAGTGCCTGGCATTTAGTCTGAGTCAATAATAACATGTTTGCACAACTTAAACACAAATGGTAGCTTTTAGCCTTAGCAGTCAATCTAGCATACTTTTATTATTTGAACTGAAAATCTCCCAGGAAATTTGCTGAGAAACAGCATTTGTATATTCTATGTACACATGCTGGAGCCAGCATGACTAACTATAAGTGTTTAAATGTAACTTGATTGAAAACTGTTCTATAAACCTAATGGGCAATTCTACAAGTTGCAGGCTAACACACAACACTATGCTATAATATAAAAATAAAAATGTCATGTAATATAGAGTTTAAAAAATGAACATCACAGAGACCATCTGCTTGTGAAAATAACTACATATTGACTATTTTAAAAGCAACTTGGGAAAGTAACTGCATTCTGTGCAAAGTAAGGGGCAGTCTCCTTTAACTCACTGTAATTCACAGAATAATAATTCTCACTTTCCGATCCTTTTGATGATCAAGATTTTTCTCTCAGCCCACCCTCTTGGACACAGTTGTGTCCAATGATGATGAGATATAAAGGCATCTACCACATGACACTTCTTCCTGCTGTAAATAAACTGGCCTAAAGGTGAATGCATGATCCCAAATATAAGCAGTCGAATCTTACATGACTGGCCTCAGTGATTACTGTAGGACAGAGTTGAACTAAATTCGCTGATGCTGGAAAATAATCTGTTATACACACAATTGCCTTCTTTGCAGGTTATCTTCTCCTGGAGATTCTGGTCAACTCTTGCTCTTTAGCAAGTATCCCAACTTATTCTTCTAATCAGGACATCTTAAAATGTCTTGCTCTAAAGCAGTAGTTCTCAGACCTTGCCTTGTGAATCATTAAAACTCCAAAAGTCCAGTTCCACTCCACATCAATTGAATCAGAATCCATTGCAGTTGGAAACAGGTATTAGTATTATTCTTTAATAAGGTCCTGAGGGTCAGCACCATCAGGCACACTGAAGAGCTCAGAAACTCAGACTCTCATACCTGACCCCAGATCTAATCTTCCTAAACTGAACATCCTTTTAAAAAAATTTCCAAGTGCATTTATGTACCTTAATGCTGAAGACCTGCAGTGCACAGAATTCTGATCTCAGCCATACAAAGCTGTTTTGAATCGAGCTATGACAAAACTTCCTCTTTCATGGGAAAGTTGGAAGGACATAAGACCAGCAGCAGTCTTGCTACCATTTCTATAATTCACGCACATGAGCTGATGAGGGAAATAAGTCTTGCAAATGAAAATGTATTAACTCAATAAGTTTCTTCTAAAACCACCGTCACTGGATTCAATCAAACATGTTTTATAATGAACGGCTAAGGCCCCTTCTGTTCCAGGATATTTTAGTTTAATATTTTAGAATTGTGTAAAATTTAATAGATTTCCTTGTATTTGCATTCTTCTTTGTTTAACTTCCTATGTCTGCAAAATGCTCGTGTAACTATCTGGCCTTTTTCTAATTTTTGTAGTGCTAAAAATGTGCAAATTCCTGAGCTGCTCTATTATCCAATTATTGAGAGAGTCTCTCTACACCACCTGGTGTACAGCTTAGTGTGAGGAAGCAACAATACTTGCTAGAGCATGATTTTTTTTTTTTTTGTTTCATGGCATGAATGGATTCATGACTATATAAAGAGATCGAATATATTTAAAATGTTGCAGAAATTAATTGCAAAAGCAAAAATATTGATAAGGAAAGAATAAGAATGCGTCCCTTATTTTAACTTGAAACTGGTCTTTGGAATGGTGACTTAGTAATATTGGTAAGCTACCTTCAAGTGATTTAATTCAGATAGATAGCTATTTGGAAGAGAATAATAGCTCTCAGTTGAACCACTTTGGTGAGGAAGATTTATGGAAGGACTTGGGAGAAGATGTGAAATCGTGGTCTGTAAGCTGCTTGTGCCTTAGGTACAGAACTCAAACATGATACCCACTAGCGTCACTAAAGATGGGAAAAGGACTTCTGCAAAGAATATAAACTAGGGAGAAAACTTCTAGAGATCTGACTGAGAAGGAATAGCACAGCAATGTGCCTCCCATGACCTTTCTTCATTGTAGAACTCCATAGATGATCTTGATTCCAGAGTAAGCAAATGAACTCAGACCACCAATGTCCCCTGAAGAATTACAAGAGGACACACATGATGTCATTGCATGAGGTAACTTTAGTGACATGCAGAAAGAATTTTTTTGTTTGCTTTGTTTTTTTTCATAGACTGTAAGAATGAAGATCGTGACATTCATCTTTGGCTTTGGGATTGACTTGCTCTTCTTTTTTTAGCTGTTTTAGGTGGAGCATCAGGTTATTTATTTTTCTGATGTGGGAACTCAGTGCAATAAATTTTCCTCTGAGGATGGCTTTCATTGCATCCCACAGTTTCCCGTAAGTTGTATTTGTATTTTCATTTTCTTGTTGGTATTGTTTAATTTCTTCTTTAATTTCCCCTGTGACCTACTGATTACTCAGGAATGTGTTATTCAGTTTCCACGTGTTTGTGGGATTTTTGCAGTATTTTTTATCATTAATTTCTAATTTCAAAGCGCTATGATCTGATAACATGCAAGGGATAATTTCAACTTTTTGCATTTATTTAAATATGTTCTGTGAGCTAATATATGGTCTATTTTAGAGAATGATCCATGTACTGCTGAGAAGAATGTGTATTCTGATGTTGTTGGATGGAAGACTCTGTATATGTCTATCAAGTCCATTTGTTCACGTGTGTGATTCAGTTCTATTATTTCTTTGCTGATTTTCTGTCTGGTTGATCTGTCCCTTGGTGGCAATGGTGTGTTAAGGTCTCCTGTTACAATTGTGTTACTGATAATTTGATTTTTGATTTCTGTTAATACTTGTTTTATATAACTGGATGCTCTGGAATTTGGTGCATATATATTTAAGATAGTTGTCTCCTCCTCTTGAAGTTTTCCTCTAGTGAGTATGTAGTGACCATCTTTGTCTTTTCTGATCATTACTGGTTTAAAGTTCACAGTGTCTGCCAACAGAATGGCTACTCCTGCTTTTTGGGGGGCTCCTGTTGCATGAAGTATTGTTTTCCATCCTTTCACTTTCAGTCTGTGAGTATCCTTCTGGGTTAGATAGGTTTCTTCTAGACAGCATATGGTAAGATTTTGTTTCTTGATTCATTCTGCCAATCTGTTTCTTTTAATTGGTGCACTGAGACCATTTACGTTGGTGGTTATAACTGTTATATGTTGGTTTATTGTTGACGTGTTATCTTTCTGCTGTTGCATCTTTACCTTTCTGTTCTGTTTAATTGTCTGCTTTGCTTAGTGTTTTTTTCCTAAGTGTATCTAAACTGTCTTTCAGTATTCTTTGCAGGGTTGCCTTGGTGATCACGAAGTTCTTCAGCTGTTCTTTGTCATGGAAGTGTTTTATTTCACTATTGCTTTTGAAGGATAGTTTTGCAGGACCCACCAGTTTGGTTGGAAATCATTTTGTTTTAGGATCTGAAATACTTCACTCCATGCTCTTCTTAACTTTATTATTTGTGCTGAGAAGTCTGCTGTGATTCTGAAAGGTATTCCTTTATAAGTGATCTGTCTTTTCTTTCTGACAGCTTTTAATAATCTATTCTAGTGTTGAATTTCTGGGAGAGTGATTATTATATTTCTGGGTGTAGTTTTATTTTGGTTATGACTATTTGGAGTTCTATATGCTTCACTGAACCTGATGTCGGTTTCTGATCTTATGCTTGGGAAATTTTCAGCTATTACTTCTCTAAATATTCTCTTAATGTCCTTTATGTCATCCCCTTCTTTTTCATTAATCTCTATCAATCTTACGTTGTTTTTCTTTGCATCATCTTGCAGTTGTTGAATTGTTATTCCCTGATTCTTTGTTATTTTTAAAAGATCTTTCCTTTCCTGTTCACTAGCTGCAATCTTGTCTTCAAGGTCTGAAATTCTATCTTCACTTTCATTGAGGTGGCTTTTACAGCTTTCAGTGGAGTTTTTGAATTCCTGTATGTCTCTGTGCACCTGCTTTATGTATTCTGTTTGTTTCTTATATTGTTCATCTAGGGATTCTATCTTTTTGTTTAGTTTTTTCAATTTTTAACTGTGTTTTTTTTAGATATGTTAAGCATTTCTTTTATTTATTTTATCATTTCTTCTTTTACCTGGGAGATTATTTTTAGTTTCAATTCTTTTAAAGCTTCTGTAATTACTTGTTTATTTCAGTTGCTATTATGTCTGATATTTGAGGTGTATGGCATATATTTTCTTCTATATACCTCACTCCTAGGTTTCTTGGGATGGACTGGAGGTTTGAGATTTTAATTTGGTCTTTTGTTTTGTCATTTTCCTATATTTCTGTGTTTCAAGTGTTATTTGAAAGCTTCCTCAGGGTCTGTAGGAAATCTACCTCTATGCCCTCAGCGCCTGAGACTCTGGCATCTAGTTCCCCCAGGCCACCAGGCCTCTGGAACCAGTGGCACTTGCCTGCTTGTTTAGAACTCCACAGTCTCAAACAAGCTGGGCTCCGGGGAAAGTGGGTGCCCGTCTGCTTGCTTAGAACTCCACAGTTCTCCAAGCACAACTGGAACAGGGAGGTGGACGCAGGCGCCTCAGACCCGCCTAGCTGTTCCAGTGCACCTGGAAGGCTCAAGGATCCCAAACAAGCTGGGCTTGGGGGGAAAGTGCAGGGGACACTTACCCCACGGTGTCAGGCCTCTGGAACCAGTGGTATTCACCTGCTTGTTTAGAACTCCAGTTCTCCAAGCACACGGGGAGGCAGATAAAGGTGCCCCAGATCCAGTGCACCCAGAAGATGCAAGGGTGCCAAACAAGCTGGGTTCCAGGGAAAGTGGGCACCCACCTGCTTGCTTAGAACTCCATAGTTCTCCAAGCACAGCCAGAACCAAAAATCTATTTTCTAATCCCTTAAAGGCTCCACGGTCTTCATATTTGGACAAAATAATATTTTAAAAATATAAATATATGCTTCCTAATAAAGACAATAAATATTCTACCTTTGGTCTCCACTGTTTACAATGCCTAACATATTGTAGTCTTTAATTTTGTTTATTACAAAACTAATGTCACATTTGAATAACAGATAGGAGAGGGGGGAAAACAAAGTAAAAGCAAAACTACTGTGATTACAGAAAACCTAGCATATGAGTTGGTACCTGCAAAGATCTAGGCCTCAACAGTTTCAATCTTGGGGGTTTTAAATAGGGCCATAATAGGTAAATTGCTTATTTAGAATCACATAACAACAGATATGGAACAGAATGTAGAAATTACATAGGTAAGCCTTATTCAGATACAGAAACAAGATTTTAACTAAGGGAACTGACACCTGGGCCAAAGAGTGATATTCAGGATGGAAGGCCAGGTAGACTCATGGTCTTGGACTTCCCTGAAAACCTATGTTGAGGATTTCCACCATCACAATCAAGCTTAAACGTTTTTAAAAAGATGCTACTGAATTCAAAGTAGTTATCATCATATTGGTAGTTTGTTACAGTAAAAGGTTACACATTAAAAACTCAGCAAGAAAAAAGGTGAGCAGTGGTGTCCAAGATTGATAAGATCAAAGCTTCTGGCTCTTCTCTCCCAGAAGAGGAAAAAAGACTGCTAAATTCTCCCAGCAGCAGATGTGACAACATTTCCCAAAATACTGCCAACAAGAGGAGCTCAGGTAAACTACAGTGTCCAGGGGTAACTTCAGAGTTGGTCCTGCAATAATGGAGCAGCCCTGTTAATGACCTGAGAACTTTTCCAGTCCTTTCAGAGGTAAAACAAATGATTGGCCCCACCACAAATCATACTAACTAAACTCTCTGGCATTGCCCGCACACCAGATATACAAATTTTCTCATTCAGCCTGGTTGGATGTTATCTCCCAGGAGTCAATGGGGCCCGGGTGCCAAGGGGGCTCTTTGATATATGCAGGATTTGAACAATTTAAATATGTGACTCAACCATGTCTGGGTACAGCAAGTACCCAGAATCTGCTGAGTTACATGTTGCCTATACACCTTCTACCTTATTTTCAGTATTAGGGGTTGCATTTCCAAGGGCCCTGGATTTTTTTGTTTTGATGGTATGCTTTTGCAGAACTTTTACATTCTTGAGGTCTTAACTACTTTTCTCATTGCAGAAACAAAATACTTGACACCCAAAGTTAAAAGGGGAAAGGTTTATTTCGCTCACAGTCTGTAGAGGTTTCAGTCCATAATCAGCTGGCTGAAAGGCAGGCTGGATTGGCTGAGGGGCACTGAAGAAGAGTAACAGTTCATGGCACACAGAACACAGCATAAGTAAGCAAACAATGGATGAGACAAACCTCTTTCTGTCCCTTGTATTGTATCCAGGCTCCTGGGATTGGAGTGGTGTCAAACCAGTCAGTGGACTGATTTAGTATTCACACACCCTTAATTCTAGCATTGTACCATGAATCACCCATATACTCTAGATTTTCCTACCTCTAAAAATACCACACCTGTGACTGCACATGAGGCTTTGGGGTACACCTAGACACAAGCCATAACACTTGAGCTTTTCTTTCACTACTGCCTATAAAGGATTTTAGACAATACAAAAAACAGCTAGGTTTATTCTACTAGAAAGCTGTGTAAGTTATTCTACTAGAAAGGTATAGGCCTAAACATTATAGCTTCTCAGATTTATTTTCTTTTGGAGTACAGAGAATCCTATAATCACTTGTGGTAAAAGAGAGGGTTGGAAGTAGGACTCAGAACTATCCGCCTGTTTTGGTTTGTTTTTTTTTTTTTTTTTTTTTTTTTTTTGGTTTGTTTTGTTTTTCATAGTAAAAAACAGCAAAATTACCTCTTACAGAATCCCACCGTGTACAATGAGCCTACTTTAAAATGTCTCACAAAGGTACACATTCTGACCTTTATTTACTAACATAGCGTATACAAGGAGTACTCAGCTTTACAAGGCAGAAAAAGCTGTGGCTTAAGGCATTTGTTGATTTCTATAATGTAAATATTCTCACCGTGCTGATTTCAAACTACAAATAAGGTCACTGAATTTGGAATTGGAAAGAAATGTGCCTCATTGACTCCTGTTAATCCATATCAAACTTTTCCATCAAAACACTAATGAAGTTAGGCACAGATCTCTAAGTTTTAGTGTTTAATTGTCTGCTATAAACCAAATATTTCCAGTAGCAAATGTACCCTCGACTACCATTGAAGTTAACTATATTATGGATTGTGACTCTCACTTGCACAGTAAAATCTGTTTGGCTCAGTACATTACAATTGAGCTTATTTTAAATTTTAATATCTTTTTTGTAACTGCTACACTTCTAAAAAGGCAAGGGAATTTAAGAGATTATAAGAAAAAGATCCAATTTCAAATTTGATATTTGGGATTTGAGCTATC